TCGGGGTGTCCCAGCCGTGCACGGCCCCTCGCAGCGGCTCGGCGGGTCCCAGGGAGGGAAGGTCTTCGCCAGGTTTCGATTTCGCATTTGATTTCAGATCATTAATTAAGCGTGGGCACCCGAGCTGCGCTAGGGCTGGAGGAACTTCATCAGGGCCCCGGTGCTGGCTGAGACGCGTGCGGCAGCCCCAGGCCCTGCGCTGTCAGGGTAATGCAGGGGGAGCGATGGCCACAGGGATGGGGCGAGGAGGAGACCCTGCAGCGAGCCCAGCCGCCGGCGCGCTCCTACCTGCACAGGGCAGCACCTTTGCAGCATCAGCACTGCAGGCTGGGGTGGCCCTCCCGCTCTTACCTCTTCCTTAGAGAGGAGAGCTCTCGTCTGTTCGTAATAGAGGGCTCTTGTTTTCTTTTACTGTAGTCTTACATTGTATTTCTGTATTTCTTGAATTATCTGCTCCGTTTCAGTTAGACTGTAGTCATTCCTGCCTACTGCTGCTGCTCTCCGTCTTCTCCATTCCCTTTTCTAATAACGCAGAACCCAAAGGAAAAGAAATAGATACTGAAAAAGTCACCTGCTCCATTCCAAAACCAAGCGCATGCTAAAGACCTTTTCATGGGCCCCAAAACACGCCCCATTCATCGCTCCTGGAGAAAGGGTGCACCAGCTAAGGAGCCAGAGAGGGTAAATAATTGTGACACGGCTGCTCTAGAAGGCAGCGTCCCCATCTCGGCGCTTGCGCGGATGCCTCGGGGTCTTTTTGTCCTTTAACCCTCGCATTGGGTCTGGGACGGCTGCCGAGAGGTCCAGGACAGGTGAGGCACAGCAGCTCAGGTGCTAAGCGCACGCAAAACACACAGCACGCTGCTTTTCATGTGTCCACTCTGACATAATTTTTCACATGTTGGAAATGCAGATGATTTTAGCCTGGGTCCATCTAGTTTCCCAAATAACCTGTCTATTTGATAAATAACATAAATTAAATTAGACAAGACAAACAGGTTTTTTTTTCTTCTCCCCCTTTCAGTCTCTTGGCAAAAAGGAAAAAAAAAAAAAGAAAACATAATTCAGTGACTGCCTTGAGCCCCCGAGGAGCCGTGCAGTGGTGAAAGCTATGATTATAAACGTGTCTGCAATGTTAACCTTTAACACGGACCCAAGGCCCTTCCTTCCTCTGCTTGTAAGTTCTTTTTTAATTTCTTCACTATCATTTAGGTTCCTAAGAGCTCATTCTCCGTGCAAACTCAGCAGGTAATACTGCGTACTTAGCAGCACTCCTCTCATCAAGGCTCCCACGGTGCAGTCTAGCATGAGGAGGTCAGATCTGAGAGGCTTTATTTCTTCCCCCTGTCCCTCATGCAGGTAAGGGAAACTGAGGCACAGAGACATGTCATTATGACAGCTGCCTAACTCGGATGAAAACCCTGCTGTCCTACCAAGGTGCAGCCGCTTCTGTGTCTCGTGCAAAGCCAAAACCAAACCTCGCCAATCCCCGCTCGCAGCTGTAACTGCCAGGAGCGAGCCCAAGACGCGACTAGAGCGGAAAAGCAGCGAGCGAAGCGGAAGGAGCTCTTCCTTCAGCCCAGCACAGCCCCGCAGAGGCCAGTTCTGCGCAGGCTGAGACGCGCCTGCCCCAGGGCTGCGCGCAGGACCCTCGCTCCCACCCCGTCACCCCTCTCTGCCTCCACCCTGTCGGTCCCTCCGTCCCAGCCACGCTGGCCAGCCCCAGACCACTCCTGGTGCTTCCAGCAGCAACAGGGGGGGGATTTTTCTCCCCGTTAGCACAGCGGCATCATCTCAGTGGCA